TTCCCGGCCAATCAGGAAGCTGGGTGGCGAGTCATTACCCACTCCAGGCTTCCTGATTGGCCGGGAAGCCAGCTCCATGCTCCCTGGTCACTTGTGAACCCCTTCCCGACCGATGACGGGATTGTTCCGTCCCGGTCTTTCAGTTCCTCAATGACCAGTGACAGAATAATCCCGTCATGCGGTACAATGAGTGCTGTCTGTGCATGGACCAGCCCTCTGAGTTAATGCTGTTGATGGGTCCCTCAGGGTCCAAGGCAGACCCTCCGCAGCAGCTTAGGTGGTCACAGCACTATGATCACTGTGATTGCTGATGCTGTGATCACTGTGCTGACAGCCGCTGAGCCGGCATTCAGCTCACTGTTTGTAATACACAGCCGGCTGTAATACACAGCCGGCTGTGTATTACAAAGTGATACAAAATATCTCTAAGGAGAATACAGTATCTCCTCAGAATACTTAGTATCAAAAGACCCTGTAAATAATTTTAAAAATTAGCCCCTTAGTGCCCCCTTGTTAAATCGATTGTAAAAACAGTTTCATGTTTTTAATTTTAAGAAAAGGAAAAAAAAAAGTTTTAAACAAAACAAGTCAACAGGGAACAGTGACAGTCACGGCTCTCTGCAAGGACAGGATCAAGAAGTGAGTGAGCGACGGTATGTGTTCGCTCACTTCCCGATCTATTGAGTCGACCTGTGACAGTTTAATTGTCACAGGTCGGCTAGAACTATGAGGATGAGTGAAAATCACTCACCTCATAGTTCTCCTTTAACGGACGGACGGCAGACTCACATGAGCGGGTTGCCGTAACTAGACGGCTTTTTTTTTCTGCGCGCGCACGGGCAGAAGAAAAAACCCGTCAGTTGTACACAGCCATTACAGGCTGTTTCACAAACAAGCGATCAGCGGCTCCATAGTCTGCAAATCGCTTGTATGTGCTGTCTGGCTGCGCCGCTCCCCCTCCTCGAGTGCAGGAGCAAGATGGGAGGGAGATCAGCATTTTCCTCCTTGCTGATCTCCCTCCGTACTTTTAATGCGGACGTGATGTGTATTACATCACTTCCGCATTCACCTGTCAGTCATCTGGCTGCTATAGCCAGAGAGAAGTAGATGAAGCAGATCTCTGCTTCATCAGCTTCTTTTGGGGTTCCCACGTGACATTAGGGGTCTTAGAGACCCCCAATGTCTCCATAAAGAGGACCTGTCAGTGTGCCTTTGCTATTATATAGGGGGATTGTTATCCCCCTATGTGATAGCAATAACATTAAGTGTAAAAAAAAAGTAAAAAAAATATTTAAAAAGTCACATATAAAAAAAAGTTAAAAAAACAAAAACAAAATGTTTTAAGTCCCCCACGTTTACGCACATATAAAAACGTAAATATGCGTCAGAGAGTGAAAACGACAATTGCGCTACACGTTACATATTGCCGCGAATGTCGGTGAGAGAGCAATAATTTTAGGGCCATCAATCACTGATAACACTAAACTGATGAGTGGTACAAGCTTTTCAGCGTCGCCTATGGCCAATTTGGCTACGGTGCCATTCACTTCAATGGTCCGCAACGCCCCCTCATGCCCCACTAAAAAGTGAGCCGGCCGCAATGCGAGGCAGTGCGTTCTGGCCAGAATGCACTGCAACTTTTGAGGTTTTGCGGGCGAGCGCAATTTTAAGGCTTGACATGTTTGGTGTCTTTTTACCCGATGTAATCCAGGTGTGAGCGGGCATCATTGAAGATAATGGGATTCGTTATGTTGAGTGCTCTCGTGTCAGTAAACATGCACCAAAACGCTCAGCGATAAGAGGCATCATTGAAAATAATCAGATTCGTTATGTTGAGTGCTCTTATGTCAGTAAGCACGTACCAAAATGCTCAGGTGCGAGTGGGCACAATTGAAGCTAATGGAATTCTTTATGTTAAGTGCTATCACACCTCAGACGACAACACTCAGGTGTGAATGGGGGCCTCGTCTTTCATTGAGACACAGTGCAAAATCATGAAGATGACCTTTCTTATTCTACTAGATAAAAAGAAGGGCGTCCAGTGACATGATACATAAAAGCGGCCGGAGTAATAAAGTGACTTTCCTGTGGATGCAGTCTGCTGAAACGGTTCCATCGGGGGTGTGGTATTCTCACAATGTGGAACACATTTCATACATCCTGTTTCCAAGTTAATAACCAACTGACTGGGAATGTTCGGAGCAAAGTTTGTCAGGAAATGAGTGTGGACGTGTACGGAGTAATCTGTAACACAGTATATAGCCATTAGGAGTGTTTACTACCAAGTATACACAACCAACAAACACAAAATGCTCACACTGCATTCCCTAAACTAAAGGAAGGCAACCTCAGCCCTCCAGCTGTTGTGGAACTACAAGCTCCATGGAAGCATTGCAAGACTCTGACAGCCGGTTGTCAAGAGACTTGCACAGCCTCATGGGACTTGTAGTTCCACAACAGCTGCAAGGTTGGAGCTGCTCACCCCTGGATTACATTTTAGGTTTGTCATAATATTACATAGTTTTGATAACTCTATAGCAGATTGTAAAGAGATAGTAAAATCAGATTGTAACATGTGTGGAGAGCGTTATTCAATAAACTGTGTAAGGCTGAGTTCACGGACGGCAGACATTACCACCCTCTGAAAAGCAATCCGCGGTGGATCGATTTCCAGAGCTGAGTAACCCATAGCAACCAACAAACATTCCGTATCAGACATGAGTGGAGATGGGAACTTTCTATTGGGAAATCCTCCAACTGCAACCCAACAATACATTTTAGAGACTAAAGCTGGCCATATACTAGTACAAGGATGGACAACTCCAGCCCTCCAGATGTTGTGGAACAAGTCCCATGAGGCACTGCAAGATTCTCACAGCCACGACTCCCAGAGGAAGAGGCATTATGGGATCTGTAGTTAAAGCACAGCTGGAGGGCCAGAGTTGCCCACCCCTGTACTAGTAGATTATTTTTCCTTCAACGCCATCCTGTCACGCTGAACAATATGAATGGATCATCCTCCTGCTGGGCTGTTGTATTCTGACAGTTGGGTCTGCTGCTTTACCAGTTGCAGTGCGTTCTGGCCCGATTCTGGCTAGAGCGCACTGCCTCGCATTGCAGCCGGCTCACTTTTTAGTGGGGCAGGAGGGGGGCTTGGCGGGCCATTAAAGTGAATGGCATGGTAGCCACGCCCTCCGGCCGCAATGCGATTGCCCGCACGGGAGCGCAAGGCACATTGTGCCTGCGGTCCGGTGTGATCACAATGCTGCAAGCACTATTTTGATCGCACTGGACCGGACCGGAGGCACAATGGGCCTTGCGATCCCGTGCGGGCGATAGCATTGCGCCCGGAGGGCGTGGCTACGGTGCCATTCACTTCAATGGTCCGCAACGCCCCCTCATGCCCCACTAAAAAGTGAGCCGGCCTCAATGCGGGGCAGTGCGTTCTGGCCAGAATGCACTGCAACTGGTGTTAACGGGCCTTAAAGAACTCCAGGAAATGTGTTTCTTAACCCCTGCAGTGAGGCTACCCCTGCACTGCAAGGGTTAAGTGCTGGTTGTTGTCTAGGTGCTAAACTCACCCAAAGCCCTTAGCCGGCCAGCTGTCACGGCGCTCTCTTCAGCCTGTCTCCCCCTCCCTGCAGCATTGGAATCTTCCTCAGTGTCCTCACTCTATGCACTGTGTATAGACATGATGATATACAGGAACTTAGACCACTGCAGAGGAGGGGAGAGACACTGGAAGGCGGCTCTGAGCGTCGGGTGAGTATATCTTTTTTTTTAACCTAAACATAAATGAGCACTTAACCCATGCAGTGCTGGGGTAGCTCACTGCAAAGGTTAATACAAAGTTTCCTGGAGTTCTCCTTTAAGAATACATGAACAATGGCTGCAGCTAACTGGCTGAAGTCACTGCTCGGCGGACAATTTTCCGCCCGGCTCCTTCTACAAAAATCAAGCTGCTTTTGGTTCCTCATCCTCTCTGTATGTGTTGTGACCGATCTCAGGTGTTGTGACCGATTTTGTGTTAGCCAATGGAAAGCTAGTTACTAGAAGGAGGAGACGGTTGCTAAGCACGACAAACGTGTTAGGTGCGTTTTTCAGAAGATCCCACTGAAGTCTATGGGGCCAATTAAAGCTCAAGTCATTTTTGGAGCTACAAGCGGCACACCACTCAGGTATAAACAGGAACTACTGAAAATAGTGGGATTCTCCTGGATGAGTGTTGACGCACTTCGGGAAACACTCGACAGCACTCCGGTGAGCAGACTGTAAAGAAAAAAAAATAGGATTCTTCTTGTTGAGTGTTGACGCATTTCAGGGGAAACACACCACAATGCTTAAGTGTGAACAAGCACCAATGAAAATAAAGGGATTCTTCAGGTTGAGCATTGACGTGACAAAGCGCTGAGGTGTGAACAGGGCTCAAAGATGCAAATTACAGTTATTACGGAAAGTGAAAAAACCAAAAGGAAAACGCCTCCCATTCTAAACACACACGTTCCATACTATCAAAGACATTATGGTACCCAAATGATGCTCTATTAAGAGGTGAACACTGAACCCGGGCAGCCCAATAAGTGAACACTGTGATTAAAGGACCACCACAATACATTGTTCATCAATCTCTACTTTACCAAAAACAAAATGTCTAAACAATCCATTCCGTCTGCATCCAATGTGTATCTTTCACATTGCACAGTCAATGGCAGAGCTAAAGAAGATTGTACAATCAGATTGTATAGTGTATGGTCACCTTTCAGTAGATTGTATGGTCACCTTTCAGTAGATTGTACAGTGCATTTCCACCTTTTCAGTATAGTGTACAGGACACAGATAAGAAGGACACGGATACAGCATCGTATAGAGGAGAGGGAGGAGGGCACAGATCGCCAGTACAGAGAGATCAGTGGGAAGGGAGAAGCAGTGAGCAGCGCTCAGTAATAGGAGAGAGCGGACAGGAAACAAAGGCCGTATAGTTTAGAGTAGCTGCGCCTCACTTTCTCACGCATCTCCCGTTCTGTGTCCAGCTCCCTCTGCAATGTCTGCGCGTTGTCTTCAGCATCGTCTGCCTGTTGCTGCAGAGCCTGGATCTTCCTCTTCACGGCTTCCAATGAGTTCAGTCCTGCCATTGTGTCCAGCTACAAGCGCTCCGATCTCCGCCAATCAAGCTTCCAAGTTTCCTTTGCACTGATGCCCTGGGATGTCACCGTAATTACCGAATAGAAGGACGATTGTTAATATTGCACTTAGATGTCAGTGATTTGACCAGAGTGAGGATCAGTGCAGCCTGCTGGGAGAAGAGCCAGCCAGGGGTAAAGCGCTTATTAATGGACGTTCAAAGGGAATTTGGAAGCGGATGGCAAACCTGAGGGAGCTGCCTGCAGAAGAAGTCTGCTCAATGAGTAGTAGGACGGAATTCTTGGGTGAGGTCATGGCACAAGGGGGCGGGGGGGGGGCGGGGCATAGCCGTGACGTCAGCCGGGCGCTGGGCGGATCCCCTCTTAAAAATATGCAGGCTTTTTCGACTTATTTGGGAAAGAAATTGTGGATGTTTCCTGCCCCTTTGTGAGTGACTAAGGCCTCTCCTGGAACAAGGCAGCTCCCAAGGCTTGCCTCTCTTCCTGCTGCTGCTGCTACTACTTTATAGAGCTGGGGAAAGGACTCGGGATGATGCCAATGAAATCATCATGATGATGCAAGACTTAATGGATTCTTTGTTTCTGACCATGAAATACAGCAGTGGTCACATCGTATATTTTATAACAAAAAAAGTTTTTATACAGCAATACACTTAAAAAGAAAAAGTCCCTTATTACATCCAGGAGTGCTGAGCAGAGCCCACCTTTATATCCAATAGTAGCAATTAGAGCCCCCGTCGTAAGATCCAGGGGTGCCCAGCAGAATGCCCCCTTACATCCAGGGGTTCCCAGCAGAGTGCCCCCTTATATCCAGAGGTTCCCAGCAGAGTGCCACATTACATCCAAGAGTGCCAAGCAGAATCCCCCCTTACATCCAAGAGTGCCCAGCAGAGTCCCCCCTACATCCAAGAGTGCCCAGCAGAGTCACCCCCTTACATCCAAGAGTGCCCAGCAGAGTCACCCCCTTACATCCAAGAGTGCCCAGCAGTGTCTTCCCTTACATCCAGGATTGCCTAGCAGAGTGCCCCCCTTACATCCAGGGGTGCCCAGCAGAGTCTCCCCTTACATCCAGGATTGCCCAGCAGAGTCCCCCTTACATCCAGGAGTTCCCAGCGGAGTCTCCCCTTACATCCAGGATTGCCCAGCAGAGTCCACCCTTACATCCAGGGGTGCCCAGCACATCCAGGGGTGCCCAGTGATTTTACTTCCATGGAAGTGCCAACGCTCCCCCACTATGTCTGAATGGATGTGTTGGCCTTGCCACTATATCGGCTGACTTATGAGCTCAGAGACAAGCCGGAAAAGTTTGAGGACTAAAGGAACCCTTGAACAAGAGCCAATTATATTCTTCCTACTTTGACCTCTGATGACACCTAGCACGTCAGCTCCATTCTCTCCGTCAGAGCCGTAGCTAGCTCCTTTTGCACCCGAGGCAAGAACATATAATTGTGCCCCCCCCCCCCCAACAGGCGCATGTGCGGCGTCATGTGACGTCATGCTCCAGGATGGCGGCATGCATGTGCAGAACACTCCGGTGGCCGAATCTGAAATAGCATAAACATTTGTTTAATTTGATGAATAATGAAAACGTTTCCTGGTTTCCGTTGGGGGGGGGGGGGGGGTTATTTTTAATTTATTTTTTTGTACTGTTGGAGGGCTTTGGGGAAATATCCCGTAAATTTCCCTTTTTAAATAGAAAAATAAATTAAGGACACAGAGGTGTGATCTAGGACAACATAGATGTACTGGAAAGTGAGCTGAATTGGAGAATTTTTCTAAATCATCTATGTTGTCCTAGATTGTTCACTTCTCCTGCCTTCTCCAAACTCTTCACCCTTTTGTGAATAACCCCCTGAGTCTTCAATCTCTTTTTCTGCGGCCCCTGTTCTAAATGAATGAAAAGCACTCAGTACAGAGGCTTCCCATTCATTCACAAACTGGTGATAGTAAAATATTTACTATCATCCAGTTATGAATGGGTAGAAGCCTCTGTGCTACTACCTATTGAAAAATTCATGAATGAACAAGAAGTGATGTACAGCACTTCCTGTTCATTCATAACTGGGGACACATAGTACATCCTGAAGTGACAGTGCTCCCTCCTCCGCCCCCTCTGCCAGCTGCACTGCTCCATTTCTCCTCTGATCCCCGCTGCCTCTGCCATACAGGTGGGGGAGAACAGTGGGGATCCGAGGAGACGCTGCAGGCTGTGCCGCCCCTCTTCTCCCTGCCGCAGTCAAGCTGTGTTGGCTGCCTGGCCCCCCGGTTGCCATGGCACCCTGTGCTTGCCATTGAAACAGGGGCGAGGGGGTGCTTTACCCGCCCCGCTCTTGCTACAGCCCTGCTCTCTATGCTCCTTCGATACCTCTCTCCTTGTGCCTCCTTCGATTTCCCTAATTTTCACTATGGTAGAAAACAAATCACCGATAGAGAAAATCAAACAAACATTTCCAAAACTACCGTTTCCAAACAGAATTCTAACCATGTATGGCCAGCTTAATTCATGCAAGAGCACCCAGCTATATAGATAATATCAGCAGAACAATGGAGTGTGTTAATATGTCTCCGACTGTCATTTGAGCATTCACTCACAGACTTTTGTAAATGCCAGCATGACAGTCTTTTGTTACATGTGAGCAGTCATTGTCAGGTTCTTGTAGCATGTGAATTGTAACAGTAGATTTGCAGGAAGGGTCAGCTATCCTGCTACTGAAAACATTTTCGAAGAAAGAAACATTATTCACTACCTGCTCTGACTTTTCTATACCGACTTAAGACTGGCTACGCTGTTAAATCATGCCTATTTATAGCTGAACTCCGCTCAAACAGCTAAATCCACAGATGAAATCCATACATGAGCGGTAAATGCATTTCTGTCCATCCAGTCCTGAAATTTACACAGCTCTGCCACTAATCTCAGTATTGCCTGTCAAGGAAAGCGACCCGATCCTTCTCTGCTACAGTTTAATTTTCTCTTCGGGTCCGAATTGGAAATAGCATACAAATTTGTTTCGTTTGACAAAACTAATGAAAATGTTTTTGGTTTTCGTTCATTTTGTCCGAAACAAATTGTTATAATTTGCATGTGTCTTATAGCAAGCACCCTGAACTCTAAATGTTGTCAATTAAAATGCATTTTATTCAAAGTGTTTTCTCATCAATGACAATCAATTACTGTATGTTCAAATCAATTAAAATGTATCTTTATTAAAGGAGAACTATGAGGTGAGTGCTTTTCACTCACCTCATAGTTCTAGCCGACCTGTGACAATGAGACTGTCACAGGTCGGCTCAGTAGATCGGGAGGTGAGCGAACACATACCGGGTTCGCTCACCTCTCGATCCTGTCACGGCTCTCTGGAGTGACAGGGGGAGGGGCTGGATTCCCCTGTCCCCGCTCCGATCTGCCAGCGCTGACTGGCGGAACGGACGGGGGAGGGGTGGGTACAGCTGGCTCTGCCTCTAGATAGGCAGAGCCAGCTGTCACTCACGCAGCTGGGCGAATCCCGTCGTCTAAGTCGGGATCCGCTCCGGCGTCTCAGTATACCGCAAGCTGAAGCTCACGGTATACTGAGCTTAGGGTAACGGGAGGACGCTAGTTTGTGTCCTCCCGTTACCCTAAGGAGAACTATGGGGAAAAACACTGACCCCATAGTTCTCCTTTAAAGGAATTTTCTCATCAATGACAATCAATAATGTTTCCATTCCATACATTCATAAGCGAAGCTCTTTTGGAATTTGGAAATGGCATTCATGCCTGCCGTCATTGTGCTTTCTGCAGGTATCTGACAAGTTACCTTTCTTGATAAACAAGCAATTTACATTCATTTATTAACAATGATCAATCATCAAAGTAGGGAGGGAAACTACACCTTGACCTCAATTCTAAACATGTTTCATTTTTCCAACTCCTAAGACAATAGAGAATTTGACAAGAAGGTTGTTTTCTAATGAGAGATATATCATATGATGGGTACAAATGACAAGAGATGAGCTGCATGGGACTGCTGGTCATAACTAGGGGTTCTGGGAATGTCTGGAGCAAATGATCTGGGTGACGGGATCATAGTGGAAATCCCAGGATCCATGACTGATCTTGGTGACAGGAGCATAGTGGAAATCCCAGGAGATCTTGGTGGCAGGAGCATAGTGGAAATCCCAGGAGATCTTGGTGACAGGAGCGTAGTGGAAATCCCAGGAGATCTTGTTGACAGGAGTATGGTGGCAATCCATGGATCCATGAATGATCTTGATGACAGGAGCATAGTGGAAAAGCATGGGTGCATGAATGATCTTGGTGATAGGAGCATAGTGGAAATCCATGAATGATCTTGGTAATAAAAGCATAGTGTAAATCCACGGCTCCATGAATGATCTTGCTGACAGAGGCATAGTGGAAATCCATGGATCCATGAATGATCTTGGTGACGAGCATATTAGAAATCCATGGATCCCTGAATGATCTTGGTGATAAGAGCATAGTGGAAATCCATGGATCCATGAATGATCTTTGTGATAGGAGCATGAGGGCAATCCATGGATCCATGAATGATCTTGGTGACAGGAGCACAGTGGCAATCCATGCATCCATGAATGATCTTGGTGACAGGAGCATAGTGGAAATCCATGGATCCATGAATGATCTTGGTTACAGGAGCACAGTGGCAATCCATGCATCCATGAATGATCTTGGTGACAGGAGCATAGTGGAAATCCATGGATCCATGAATGATCTTGGTGATAGGAGCATAGTGGCAATCCATGGATCCATGAATGATCTTAGTGATAGGAGCATAGTGGAAATCCATGGATCCATGAATGATCTTGGTGATAGAAGCATAAGGGCAAACCATGCATCCATGAAATATCTTAGTGACATGAGCATGGTGGCAATCCATGGATCCATGAATGATCTTGGGGACAGGAGCATAGTGGAAATCCATGGATCCATGAATGATCTTGGTGATAGGAGCATAGTGGCAATCCATGGATCCATGAAATATCTTAGTGACATGAGCATGGTGGCAATCCATGGATCCATGAATGATCTTGATGACAGGAGCATACTGGAAATCCATAAATGATCTTGGTGATAGCAGCATAGTGGAAATCCATTGATAGACAAATGATCTTGGTGATAGGAGCATCATAGAAATCCATGGATTCCTGAATGATCTTGGTGACAGGAGCATAATAGAAATCCATGGATTCCTGAATGATCTTGGTGACAGGAGCATAGTGGCAATCCATGCATCCATGAATGATCTTGGTGACAGGAGCATAGTAGAAATCCATGGATCCATAAATGATCTT